TTTTGGGTTTTCTTTCTCCAATGACCTTCTGCTCCACACTCCCCATTTCCTTAAAACGATTCAAAACTCAAACACAAGTAAGGTCATAACAGGATCGTATAAGACATCCCTCTTTCTTCTGTGTCTCTACTCTGTCTTTGTTTCCACCTCCTCTGTTGGGGGGGGGTCAGGTTGGCAGCTTGCCTCCTGGCTCTGGATTGGGAGGCTGGTCAGAGGAAAAAATAGATCTGGGCAGAAAAGAGGAAGCATGGTGGAAGTAATGAGAGGTTGATTAGGAAGGGCTGAGAGAGAGAGAGAGGAGAGCAAGAAGGGAAAGGGAAGGAGAAAACAAAAATGGAGGGAGAAAACAGGAAGGGTGTAGAGACAGATTAATTTCCGATCTAAACTGGGACTATGATTTGATGCTGGAGTCCTGAAAGAGAGGAGGTCTATCACTCTGGCTCTTATAGGGATACACCAATGGCCATGCTACATTTTAACACATTTAAATACATGAATGTCAATGTAATGCTATTAAACATGTTTTATTATCCTACTAATTAGATTCCATATTAATACAGACGATCAAAAGCAAAATGAGTAGAATGATGGGTAATAATACATTTGAAAACACAGGCAGAAAGTCAAACACCACCACTGATTGTTGATAGACGACAAACAAATCGTATTATTAAAGGCGTGTGTAACAATTATCTTTCAAAATATTCTTTGTTATGGAAAGAAATGAAAATCATCGGCATCTGCATTCAGTGCATCCCCTTCAATATATACTATTAGATTACTGACGGGTGAATGACTTTGTTTACATGTTTATGTCTGTTTCCCAGGGTAGCGTGCACACGGCACTCAAATATTTCACTCCTCATAATAACGGCAACTCTGTAAGTACTCACAGTTTGGAAATGAAACACTGAGACAGCTGTTACAGATTCTCAGACAACTTCAATTTACACAACGCATAGTTTACATAACGCATAGTGACGAGTGACAGCTGAGATACCGCAATGTGTCACGCTATATTTCATTATTATAAAGACACTGCAAAATGTGAATGCAGCAAGCTAGCACAATGTAGTGACAGAATATGTAACGTATAAACTGAGCCTTTTTGTACAGAACTGACATTTCTCTGTACGGAGGAAGGAGAGCAGATACAGCGACAGCTTTAGAGAGTGTGTGCCAGAGGATGCTGCCAGTGTGTAACGCCTTAGTGAGGATTTTACAACTTGGGAGATTATGCGGTCGTAAAACCTGCTATTTACTGGTGCTGCTGGCAGACTGGTTTATGGACTGAATGACTGTCCACTGGCCTGAGACCAGTCTGTTGATTGTGTTACTCACTCAATGACTGACGGATGGTGGTCTGTCGCCTGGTTGAAGGCTGTGGCAGTGGCTCAGTCAGTCGGGGCTTGGACTGTGAGCTGTAGGGTCGCCGGTTCAAGTCCCCGACCAGACCTAAAATATGGAGTGTGGACTGCTACTTTGAGAGGTCCCAGTTCACCTCCTGCCCTGCCGTGGTGCCTTTGAGCAAGGCACCGGACACCCCCCTTCCCCCCTCACTCCCATTGCTCCCTGGGCGCTGTGCAATAGCTGCTAGACTCCTAGTGCTAGACTCCTGGTGCTAGGATGGGTTAAAAGCAGAGAACACTATTCTATTCTATAAATAATTGCGTTATTGGCCGAGGCACTTGCACTGATGTTGGGCGGTTTTCCAACGAGGCGACAGGAGGTCTTTTGAGTGGAACCCAGGACATTTTAATGGGTCCCAAACAAGTTTTTGATTTTCTGAAAATCAGCCGGTGTAAAACGCCAGAAAAGCATACAGATGCACTGTGGAGAGCAGGCCAGCTGTTTGTGGAGCTGAGAGGAAATCAGCGGTAATTGACATGCGTTAGTCACAGGCGCTAGGGCTGTGCGATTATGGCAAAAATCATAATCACGATTATTTGGGTCAATAATTGATATCACGATTATTTTGACGATTATTCATTGACCATTTATTGAACTTTAAAACAAATAATATTTTACCAATAAACAAGATCAACAAATGTGTTGGAGCGCACTTCCAAAACCATACTAAACATATATTATTAATATGATAAATAAAAATAAATTAGACCAAAATAAATGAAATCAAATATGATGCAGTGCACTGTCACAACCTACTGAACACTCCTTAACATATAGCCAACATGTTGGTTCAACATATTCAACATATTCCACTCAGTTAAACGTTGAAGGCTGGCCAACCGTCATGGTCCAGAAGTAACAGGAAATAAATGTTGAACTACAATTTAAGACCAAATAAAAATGTCTAGGCCACCATGGCAAATGCTGGTAGGGCTGCTCATGTCATCTCTTAAAGATGTTTTGCAAGAAACACCAGCCTGTTGACATGGTCTGGTTTCAGAGATGAACGCAGGCAGGTGACAATATTGCCACCTGTACTGAAGACCCTCAGCCACGCCCCGACACATGGGGTGACGCCGGCCAATCACAAAGCTTTGATGCGTTCAAGTGCATTATTCTGGCACAGGAAGATTATGTCACAGGACATTAACGATAAAACAGAATATTGTTGTTCTATTTTTAGACACATCTCGAGATCGACTGGTTGGGCACCCCTGGGCTAGACCATAGGTCTGTTGTGGTAGCAAAGTAGTCAGCTGAAGCCACATCTCTCTCAACTTCCCCACTGCATTTGTCATATAGTGCAGGCAGCGCAGACCTGCTGAAATAATACCGAGACGGCATCGCGTAACGCTTGTCCAACGTGTTGACAAGTTGCTTAAAGCCCTGGTTGCTAACAGTGCTAACTGGGCACATATCTTTAGCGATGTGAAATGTAATGGCACCTGTAATATCTCTGTGTCTCTGCGAGCTCGTCGCGTAGGCCGTTGCTCTGTACAATGCGTCCTGAATCGATGACTGTGATGATGTGGTGGATGAAGTCGAGCGGGCATCTGCTTTTTGTTGTATTACTGCCCGGTCGTATTGCACTTTGTGGTTGTATTTCAGATGATTAAAGAGATTGGTTGTGTTAGCGTGTGGTGCCAACACAACCTGGTAACAAATCCTGCACTGTACTTTGTTTTGCTCCACGTCGGACTCCTGAAAGCCAAAGTACTTGCAAATAGTGGAAATAGTTTGACCCTTCTTTTTAACGAGTTGCTGCTCTTGTTCTGACATCTTCGCTCGCGCTGAACACTCACAACACATGTCACTCCCACGTGGCCGAGTGGGCTTTTAGGGAGGGGCGAAGCGCACCCAGCTAAATAATCGTATTTTGTCAATTATGCTGTTTTCATAATCGTCGCAAGCCATAATCGTAATCGCGATTAAAATACGATTAATTGCACAGCCCTAACGGCCCGTCCACACCGCAGCGTGCGTTGACGCTGCGGTGTGGACGGGCCCTAACAGGCGCTGCAAACAAATCCAGCTCCTGTGACTGTCTTGGGGAAAAATAGCGCGCATTGATAGTTAGTTCAGTTATTGGTTGCTCCCAACATCACTGACCTTGTTGATGATCTGACTTATAAACTGCCTCTATAGTTCAGATTGAATCCCATATAAAGTTGTAATTGGGAATTTTGAGGATCCTTGAGTGCCTTAAAGCATGTACGATGTTTTGTGTTAAAGCTGTCCATAATGTGTACATCTGTCCGGTTAGAAAAGAGGCAGATTCTACCATGTTTGATAAATGGTTTATTTAAATAAGTTGCAGTTTATTAGTAGATTTAGAAATAACCCTGATGATTTTCAAACAGAAACCCAGCACAACATATGCAATCCGGTTGTCTTTCCCCTCAGCTAAGGGAAATCCACAGGAAATTAAACGGCTGCTGCTACACACACACACACACACACATACACACACACACACACACACACACACACACACACACACACACACACACACACACACACACACACACACACAACACACACACACACACACTTCAGCTGCCCGTGTGTTAGAGGAAGTGCTGCTTTTTGTTTAAGGCTGACTCACTTTGCTGGTTTGGTCTCGTCCTTTCATGAAGCCACATCCCTGACCTCCGTTTCCTTTCTGAAACGATCTTGTTGAGGTGAAGCGTCTGCAGAATCAGCAGCGTGGTTTCATTTCCCACCACAGGACAGATAGAGACAACGATACGTGTCACAGTCATTTCCATCTCAGTCCGTGCTATCTGTACCACAACTACCACTAATGGTAGCAGAGCGATAGCAGAAGTAGAAATAGCTGTGTCATTGTCTTGATATCTGAATGCTGTTTAGAAGCTTTTAACCTCGATAAGAATTACATTTTGATAGAGAAAAATACATGTTTCTACATTCCTTCAACTTTAAATCTCAAGATATATAGAAAAGTATGTATATATTATATTATAAGATGAATTGTATATGTTTGAAGATTTGTACTGGTCTCATAAATATAGGTTTGATAACATTCAGCTGTCGGAAACACACAACAACTACTCAAGTGTTACTTTGAAAACAGCTAGAAAGAGTTTGTAATATGACTCTTTTTTTCTTATAAATTACAAAAACACTATCTGCAAAGAACTTATTTTTAGACCTAAACAAAAAAGCAATAACACACACTTTTTGAATGCATGTTTCCCTATCACACTGAAGAATACACACTATTCAAACTGGACAAAACCAAAGTAACGTTGGCAAGAACTGCAGGTACTTTTCAACTCTGACTCTGACGAAGGATGTGACAATGCTTTCTGTTGGATTGGAAAGACTAATTGACGAGTACCACCCTTGCTCTCGGCTAAATGAATTTGACACTGAAGCTTTAAATACAATGTTCTTGATGTGAGAGATGTGTAATTAGTTGACTCGTGTAGCCAGCGTACTTATCGGCAGTAATGAGTCACGGGACATTGAGACTTATTTTTAAAGATTGTCAGCGATGGTTTGGGGCTCTGAATGTTACCACATGTTGAGATTCTGTGAGATAATAATCTGTCTTTCTCTCTCTGCAGCACCCGGTCCCCTCAGTGCCGACCTTCAAGCCGTCCATGTCCGTCCCTGATTGGCTGGTGGCCATCCAGAACTACATGAAGGCTCTGCAGTATCCTTTAGTGCGAAAACAAGAACACATGTTGCCATAATAACCAACGCCACAGTGAGGGCTACACCGGTCCCTCTGTGTCTCATCACATGTGACTTTAAGGTCACCTATTATGCAAAATCCACTTCTCCATGTCTCTTCTACATCAACATGTGTCCCCTCTTCTTCATGTCTCTTCTACATCAACATGTGTCCCCTCTTCTTCATGTCTCTTCTACATCAACATGTGTCCCCTCTTCTTCATGTCTCTTCTACATCAACATGTGTCCCCTCTTCTTCATGTCTCTTCTACATCAACATGTGTCCCCTCTTCTTCATGTCTCTTCTACATCAACATGTGTCCCCTCTTCTTCATGTCTCTTCTACATCAACATGTGACCCCTCTTCTTCATGTCTCTTCTACATCAACATGTGTCCCCTCTTCTTCATGTCTCTTCTTCATCAACATGTGTCCCCTCCTCTTCATGTCTCTTCTTCATCAACATGTGTCCCCTCTTCTTCATGTCTCTTCCACATCAACATGTGTCCCCTCTTCTTCATGTCTCTTCTACATCAACATGTGACCCCTCTTCTTCATGTCTCTTCTACATCAACATGTGTCCCCTCTTCTTCATGTCTCTTCTACATCAACATGTGTCCCCTCTTCTTCATGTCTCTTCTACATCAACACGTGTCCCCTCTTCTTCATATCTCTTCTACATCAACATGTGTCCCCTCTTCTTCATGTCTCTTCTACATCAACATGTGACCCCTCTTCTTCATGTCTCTTCTACATCAACATGTGTCCCCTCTTCTTCATGTCTCTTCTTCATCAACATGTGTCCCCTCTTCTTCATGTCTCTTCTACATCAACATGTGACCCCTCTTCTTCATGTCTCTTCTACATCAACATGTGTCCCCTCTTCATGTCTCTTCTTCATCAACATGTGACCCCTCTTCTTCATGTCTCTTCTACATCAACATGTGTCCCCTCTTCTTCATGTCTCTTCTACATCAACATGTGTCCCCTCTTCTTCATGTCTCTTCTACATCAACACGTGTCCCCTCTTCTTCATATCTCTTCTACATCAACATGTGTCCCCTCTTCTTCATGTCTCTTCTACATCAACATGTGTCCCCTCTTCTTCATGTCTCTTCTACATCAACATGTATCCCCTCCTCTTCATGTCTCTTCTTCATCAACATGTGTCCCCTCTTCTTCATGTCTCTTCCACATCAACATGTGTCCCCTCTTCTTCATGTCTCTTCTACATCAACATGTGACCCCTCTTCTTCATGTCTCTTCTACATCAACATGTGTCCCCTCTTCTTCATGTCTCTTCTACATCACATGTGTACCCCTCTTCTTCATGTCTCTTCTACATCAACACGTGTCCCCTCTTCTTCATATCTCTTCTACATCAACACGTGTCCCCTCTTCTTCATGTCTCTTCTACATCAACATGTGTCCCCTCTTCTTCATGTCTCTTCTACATCAACATGTGTCTCCTCTTCTTATGTCTCTTCTACTCAACACGTGTCCCATCTTCAAGTCTATTCTAATCAACATGTGTCCCCTCTTCTTCAATGTCTCTTCTACATCAAACATGTGTCCCCTCTTCTCCATGTCTCTTTCTACATCAACATGTGTCCCCTCTTCTTCATGTCTCTTCTACATCAACATGTGTCCCCTCTTCTTCATGTCTCTTCTACATCAACATGTGTCCCCTCTTCTTCATGTCTCTCCTACATCAACACGTGTCCCCTCTTCTTCATGTCTCTTCTACATCAACACTGTGTCCCCTCTTCTTCATGTCTCTTCTACATCAACATGTGTCCCCTCTTCTTCATGTCTCTTCTACATCAACATGTGTCCCCTCTTCTTCATGTCTCTTCTACATCAACATGTGTCCCCTCTTCTTCATGTCTCTTCTACATCAACATGTGTCCCCTCTTCTTCATGTCTCTTCTACATCAACATGTGTCCCCTCTTCTCCATGTCTCTTCTACATCAACATGTGTCCCCTCTTCTTCACGTCTCTTCTACATCAACATGTGTCCCCTCTTCTTCATGTCTCTTCTACATCAACATGTGTCCCCTCTTCTTCATGTCTCTTCTACATCAACATGTGTACCCTCTTCTTCATGTCTCTTCTACATCAACATGTGTCCCCTCTTCTCCATGTCTCTTCTACATCAACATGTGTCACCCTCTTCTTCATGTCTCTTCTACATCAAACATGTGTCCCCTCTTCTTCATGTCTCTTCTACATCAACATGTGTCCCCTCTTCTCCATGTCTCTTCTACATCAACATGTGTCCCCTCTTCTCCATTCCTCTTCTACATCAACATGTGTCCCCTCTTCTTCATGTCTCTTCTACATCAACATGTGTCCCCTCTTCTTCATGTCTCTTCTACATCAACATGTGTCCCCTCTTCTTCATGTCTCTTCTACATCAACATGTGTCCCTCGTCTTCATGTCTCTTCTACATCAACATGTGTCCCCTCTTCTTCATGTCTCTTCTACATCAACATGTGTCCCCTCTTCTTCATGTCTCTTCTACATCAACATGTGTCCCCTCTTCTCCATGTCTCTTCTACATCAACATGTGTCCCCTCTTCTTCATGTCTCTTCTACATCAACATGTGTCCCCTCTTCTTCATGTCTCTTCTACATCAACATGTGTCCCCTCTGTGGAAAGAGACTCTTTTTGATCCATTTATATAAAAACCTGTCTGAAAATGAGCTGATCAGATTTTGGCCACTTTATGATGTCATAACGATGTGTTGGCTTGTGTAACCATTAGCCAATCACCAACCAAGGTACCCCCCCCCCCCCCCCTTATCACCTGAATCTCCTCCTAGAGCTCCATTGAGTTCTTTGTAACCAAATCTCTCTCAGAGGGGCGTGGGGAGGGGCTCCTTATTTTCATCTAAAGTAACAGATAGAGAATCAGCACTTTGGAAACAGGGCTGAAACAGAGGGGATTATGGGTAATGCTGCAATGATCTGTTTGGTGTTTCAGCCAATCAGAGGCAGGTTCTGTATATATCTGAGACCTGTGATATATTGATGAAAAATAGTATAATAGGAAACCTTTTTAGAGTTATTTAGAAACCATCCTCATGAGTACTTCTCTAAACACTGTGATGTCCCTAACATTTCCATCAGATACAACCACACAGGAACCCAATTCTTTGAAATCAAGAAGAGCCGTCCTCTGTGTGGGTAAGTGCACTGCAGCTTTAAAAAGGACATGCAATGACAATCAATCCAAACTAAAACCACAAAACAATCCATTTATCGCAATTGGCACATTTGGCCCTTACCCTCTTCCGTACATCTCAGCATATGCTGTGACTTAATGGTGTGAAAGTGGCTTGGTGTGTAGCGACTTGGCCTTGGCAAACTAGGGTTGCTGGTTAAAGTGTGGAATTGATGGAGAGGTGCCAGTCACTGTCATTGAGCAAGGCACCAAACCCCCAATAGTGAACATTAAATGTAGTCTATGGGATTAATAAAGTAAGTCGTAATCTAAAAGTGCCAGAATTGTTTTGCAAATTGAACCAAATATAAATCAATGTTCCGCAACATGGATATCAGCAGTTAGTAAAACCAAGTCATGTATGAAGTACCATCCAACTCAAAATGAAATATATTTGAGTATTTTGATCAAGTCCCTTACAGAGCGTATCTCTTTTCCCCCTCATCCTCATATTGCTCATATTTTAAACTTGTCACTTGTTCTTCTCTTCCTATTCGCCCTCCTGCCTCTCCCCCCCTGCTGCTCCTCTTCCCTTTCCTCGATTCCTCCTCCTTCTTCCTCTTCCCCATTGCCTCCTCATCCTCCTCTTATTCCAGGTTAATGGAGACAGCAAGAGAGATGATCAGAGAGTCTTTGCCAATCAAATGTCTCGAGGCTGTCATCTTGGGAATGTATCCTTTCCTGTACTCTCTCTCTCTCACACACACACACACACACACACACACACACACACAAAGCACTGGGCCAGAAGGTTATTTTGTTATCTGTGTGTGGGTGAAATCATTGGGACATGCTGCTCTAATGTCTTAATGCCCCCCTCCCCACCACCCTTTCCAGCTCGTACCGTGTTGCTTGGCAACAAGCCATCTTCAAAGTTGAACCCTATACACACACACACACACACACACACACACACACATACAATTGAGGAGCTTAGTGTTAACCCCTGGAGCTTAAATATTAGAGCAGCAATCTGTACTTTCTCAGATTCAACACTGAATTTACGGAAAACCTGCGATTGGGTTTTGACCAAACCGATTTAGTTGAAAATGAGAAAATGTGCCTGATTTTTCACTATTTTTTAATAATAGACAAAGCAAAAATAAATATGTGTGTGGTGGAGAAACTCCCTCTGGTGAGAACAAGGGATTTTAGTCTTTGCAGACCATTTACATGCACTCAAACCTATTTAACACACTACAGGAAAGGGAAAACCCCCAAAAGCCGAATAGGGCCTCTTTAACTTGACTTGCTTTAAAGGGAAAACATTTAATAATATCTTACCAAGTTGAAGAAAATTGAGATTGCCATTGCATTATAATCACAGTATCATTGGGATATTAAGCTCCATCCAAATATAATATGCCTCACTAAAGGATATGAAGGAGCTGACATGTGGTGTGTGGCACAGACTGTTTGGTGTTAGTTTTCTGAGGATTTTGGCATGTCGACCTGGAAACATTTCCCTGTGCTTCTGTGAAGTGACGGTCCAGTTTCACATGTGCTAGTTTCGCCGTGGCTTTTCTCCAGGGCTGTCAGGGTGGCAGCAGACCTGACAGTGACTCAAATTCAGACTGACTTTAGCCTGCAGATGAAAGGAGGAGACACGCAGGGAAATGGAGGAAGTGGCAAGAGACCAACAAAATTAAGTGCCACGGACATATGACCGGAACGGGAAAGAAAAAAAAACGACAATCTATCATTTAGAGTGTTTCCTTTTCACATCCGGTCCTTTACACAACCTCATACTGTCATATCAGCACAGTGTCACCTTTCACCAGGCTCTGAGGTCATGCACTGAAAAAGAAGCTTCCAGGCCCCAGTGAGAATTGAACTCACGACCCCTGGTTTACAAGACCAGTGCTCTAACCACTGAGCTATAGGGCCTCACATGTCACCAGACTTCAATGACCAATATTTGAAATGCTAATAACAGGAGAGGACACGCCCTGTTTGCATAACAGGTATTGTTTAAATAGTGTCAACTACGAGCAACCTAACCAGTTGGCTCTGTCAGTGACTTAATCTGCATATCATTCACCGAGCTACAGAGTCAGTTTAAAAAACAAAAACACATGCAATCACATATTAAATAGGGTGAAAAATAACACGTCTGCTGCCTGTCGGGACATCTTGGTATAAAAAAGTAGATCAACTGAAATATTATTGAGTGACAGCGTCTTGAAATCCTTTTCCACAGATTCACTTAAACAATGCATGTTCTTATCCACATCATTTTGGATTTGTTTGAAAGTAATAAAGAGATATAGGGGAAGATAGTTGTAGAAAGCTTTGAGAAAGAAGCAATGCAGGGAAGAGGGATGAATAGTAAAAGTTGTTAGTTGCTCGTGGCAGTTGGAGCTGTCTTTCCTTTCCTTCCCTGCTGACACTGATCTGAATTCTCTCCAGGATATTCAGGGCTTCTCTTGGGTCGCACCAGCTTTTTGTGGTGTGGTCTTTGTGTGTTCACTGTGTGTGTTTGACTCTGTGTCTCATTGTGTTAACTCATCAGTGAGCGGGGTTTTGCATAAGGCTGGAAAACAAAGCAGGCTCAAGGGTACACAACAGTGCTTTCAGGGAGGAGAGCTCCAGAGGCTCAAATGGTTCTGAGACCCGAGCCTCGAGCTCATACTGTCATATCAGCACGGCACAGTGTCACCTTTTCACCAAGCTCTGAGGTCATGCACCTGTCACCAGACTTCAATGACCAACATTTGAAATGCTAATAACAGGAGAGGACACGCCCTGTTTGCATAACAGGTATTATGTCAGAGCAACCTTAAGAGTTGGCTCTGTCAGTGCCAACCGGACCATCAAACAACTCGGGTGCACCGATAGAGCGGTTAACTCTGACACTCTTTTGGCTGACGTTAAGGCAAAATGCTGTCTTCCACGACAGTGCTTTCAGGGAGGAGAGCGACAGAGGCTCAAATCGTTCTGAGACCAGAGCCTCGAGCTCATACTGTCATATCAGCACGACACAGTGTCACCTTTCACCAAGCTCTGAGGTCATGCACTGAAAAAGAAGTTTCCAGGCCCCAGTGAGAATTGAACTCACGACCCCTGGTTTACAAGACCAGTGCTCTGAACCACTGAGCTATAGGGGCCTCACCTGTCACCAGACTTCAATGACCAACATTTGAAATGCTAATAACAGGAGAGGACACGCCCTGTTTGTGCATAACAGGTATTGTTGGTCAGAGCAACCTTAAGAGTTGGCTCTGTCAGTGCCAACCGGACCATCAACAACTCGGGGTGCACCGATAGAGCGGTTAACTCGGACACTCTTTTGGCTGACGTTAGGCAAGTAGCAATGCTGTCTTCCACGACAAGTGCTTCAGGGAGGAGAGCGACAGAGGCTCAAATGGTTCTGAGACCAGAGCCTCGAGCTCATACTGTCATATCAGCACGACACAGTGTCACCTTTCACCAAGCTCTGAGGTCATGCACTGAAAAAGAAGCTTCCAGGCCCCAGTGAGAATTGAACTCACGACCCCTGGTTTACAAGACCAGTGCTCTGACCACTGAGCTATAGGGCCTCACCTGTCACCAGACTTCAATGACCAAAATTTGAAATGCTAATAACAGGAGAGGACACGTCCTGTTTGCATAACAGGTATTATGTCAGAGTAACCTTAAGAGTTGGCTCTGTCAGTGCCAACCGGGTCATCAAACAAATCGGGTGCACCGATAGAGCGGTTAACTCGGACACTCTTTTGGTGGACCTTAGGGCAAGGAGCAATGCTGTCTTCCACAACAGTGCTTTCAGGGAGGAGCCCTCCAGAGGCTCAAATAGTTCTGAGACCAGAGCCTCGAGCTCATACTGTCATATCAGCACCGCACAATGTCACCTTTCACCAAGCTCTGAGGTCATGCACTGAAAAAGAAGCTTCCAGGCCCCAGTGAGAATTGAACTCACGACCCCTGGTTTACAAGACCAGTGCTCTGACCACTGAGCTATAGGGCCTCACCTGTCACCAGACTTCATGACCAAAAAATTTGAAATGCTAATAACAGGAGAGGACACGCCGGTTGCATAACAGGTATTGGTCAGAGCAACCTTAAGAGTTGGCTCTGTCAGTGCCAACCGGACCATCAAACAACTCGGGTGCACCGATAGAGCGGTGTAACTCGGAAACTCTTTTGGCTGACGTTAAGGCAAGTAGCAATGCTGTCTTCCACGACAGTGCTTTCAGGGAGGAGAGCGACAGAGGCTCAATGGTTCTGAGACCAGAGCCTCGAGCCCATACTGTCATATCAGCACGACTAGTGTCACCTTTCACCAAGCTCTGAGGTCATGCACTGAAAAAGAAGCTTCCAGGCCCCAGTGAGAATTGAACTCACGACCCCTGGTTTACAAGACCAGTGCTCTGACCACTGAGCTATAGGGCCTCACCTGGTACCAGACTTCAATGACCAACATTTGAAATGCTAATAACAAGAGAGGACACGCCCTGTTTGCATAACAGGTGTTATGTCAGAGCAACTTTACCAGTTGGCTCTGTCAGTGCCAACCGGGTCATCAAACAACTCGGGTGCACCGATAGAGCGGTTAACTCTGACACTCTTTTGGCTGACGTTAAGGCAAGTAGCAATGCTGTCTTCCACGACAGTGCTTTCAGGGAGGAGAGCTCCAGAGGCTCAAATGGTTCTGAGACCAGAGCCTCGAGCTCATACTGTCATATCATCACCGCACAGTGTCACCTTTCACCAAGCTCTGAGATCATGCACTGAAAAAGAAGCTTCCAGGCCCCAGTGAGAATTGAACTCACGACCCCTGGTTTACAAGACCAGTGCTCTGACCACTGAGCTATAGGGCCTCACCTGTCACTAGACTTCAATGACCAACATTTGAAATGCTAATAACAGGAGAGGACACGCCCTGTTTGCATAACAGGTATTGTGTCAGAGCAACCTTAAGAGTTGGCTCTGTCAGTGCCAACCGGACCATCAAACAACTCGGGTGCACCGATAGAGCGGTTAACTCGGACACTCTTTTGGCTGACGTTAAGGCAATTAGCAATGCTGTCTTCCTCGACAGTGCTTTCAGGGAGGAGAGCGACAGAGGCTCAAATGGTTCTGAGACCAGAGCCTCGAGCTCATACTGTCATATCAGCACGACATAGTGTCACCTTTCACCAAGCTCTGAGGTCATGCACTGAAAAAGAAGTTTCCAGGCCCCAGTGAGAATTGAACTCACGACCCCTGGTTTACAAGACCAGTGCTCTGACCACTGAGCTATAGGGCCTCACCTGTCACCAGACTTCAATGACCAAAATTTGAAATGCTAATAACAGGAGAGGACACGTCCTGTTTGCATAACAGGTATTATGTCAGAGTAACCTTAAGAGTTGGCTCTGTCAGTGCCAACCGGGTCATCAAACAAATCGGGTGCACCGATAGAATGGTTAACTCGGACACTCTTTTGGTGGACCTTAGGGCAAGTAGCAATGCTGTCTTCCACAACAGTGCTTTCAGGGAGGAGCCCTCCAGAGGCTCGAGCTCATACTGTCATATCATCACCGCACAGTGTCACCTTTCACCAAGCTCTGAGGTCATGCACTGAAAAAGAAGCTTCCAGGCCCCAGTGAGAATTGAACTCACGACCCCTGGTTTACAAGACCAGTGCTCTGACCACTGAGCTATAGGGCCTCACCTGGTACCAGACTTC